AAGTTTGTAAATGCTTTTAACCATTTTTATTTCCAGCAAATATACACACACGCACGTACCAAACAAATGAAAATTTCCAGATTAAAATGACAGTTAACGGAAGCCGTCCTCAGCTGCAATTGTGTTTACTCGGACGGATATCACTGCGGTAACTGAACAGCTGTTCACTTACCGCCGACCGCTTTACCGTCGTCCGCTGTAATTCTGGGTAGAGCTTTAATTCAATAGTTCGAATAAAGTGTTTTATGAAGGCTAATAGTTCTTGCTGCAAAACGTTTCCAATATCAAACTGTATGTATCAACGTTGAAAAGCTAAATATATGACTACAACAGAAATTTAAATCATTCAGGCACTATAGGTGATTTTGAAGAAATTGTGGAATTAGCTGATCTCGCCTTGTTATAGGTTTTTATTTAATTTTTAGCGCCGAGCTCTTAAAAGCGGATTGTGCGATTAATCAATTAATATGAGTTATAATAAATTTAATAATGCGGAGTCCTATTGCAAAATGCGTAGAAACAAAATTTTTTTAAAAGTATGCGTATTTAATCAATTAATATGAGTTATAATAAATTCAATAATTGCGCAGTCCTATTGCAAAATGCGTTGAAACAAAAATGTTTAAAAAGTATGCGTATTTTTAAAGAAAATTGTTTGTACATCACTATTATATTAGTGATTTGTGTTATTTATTACAACCCTCTGAAGGTATTATATTCGTTTTTGGTTTTAGAAACTATATTATAAAAAGATCTAATTTTTAAAATAAAAATTTGTTAAATCAATTTCATGAATTTTATAAAAAAAATTGCGATTTTTGGCGATTTTTATTTCAGAAATTGCGCCTTGTTTAAACAATCTGAACACCCTGCTGGGCGTTGGACTTTCCGTCTCATTCCGGGCATTGAAGTTTGGCTATACGGATTACACGGCTGCTTTCGATAATACCTGCACTATTATGGTCACGATGATTCGATGGCATGTAATACATGTGAAAAGGTGCTGGAAACTGTTGAACATGTACTTTTCGATTGCCCATCGTTTTCACTTGAAATATAGAGATAAAGAAAAACGTTGCTTAAAAACTACTGTTATACTTGTTTCTGTATTAATGGCGATCAATCTGAACGATCCATAAGCAGTTATGTATATTTCCCGCTCTGATTTTTGAGTTAGCTCACTTTAGACCTAGGTTTGCGATATGTTAAACGATAAAAAAGTCTCGGGCGCATTGAAGAATATAAGTAGAGAAATAATGACAAAACTAAAGATCAGACAGCAACTCCTCACAATTGGACTACAGCGGCCAAAAGTATTAAAAATGGATTAGCGAATTCTGAAAAAGTAATTACGCAGATGCATAGAAAAATATCCTGATAACCCAAACCAAAAAGAATTTTTGATAAAAATGCATATTTGCAATCATGACACCAGCTTAAAGTGGAAACAATGCGAAAAAATAAATTTGTAAGAAAAAAAATTGATTTTGTCGCAAGTAATTTTAATTGATTTTTCCACTTGTGCGGATATATAAAACGCCAATTTGATTGATGAGCAGTTTTTGAATATATCTGAGGTCATGCATTGCTTTAAATTTTTAAAATTTATACGTAAAACAGTTTACCTTGAAATTCTCCATAATTTTGTAAGTATAAAATTTTTCGAGTGCTTACTTTAAAAAGGGATATTTAAAAACGATCTAGGACAAGTACGCATTAAATATGCGTATCATATCTCAAATAGTTCCAGCTGCGAAGAACTGCAGGTTCAGCTTCTATTCTTCCTTTTATAGACCCACCTCATGTGAAATTTATTGAATTTTTATTGTAGAGCTGAAGGGAAAGACTCTGATATGTACATAAAAGAAATAAAGGTGTAGATATTAATGACTCGCCAATCTATTAATCACATTCAACATTCAGCAAGAGTCCTGCTTGCCTTAGCTCAGCTTTTATTGTATAAAATGTAGGTAAAATTGAAATTTCCGTGTAAATATATACCGTGCACATAATTTAGTTTGCTGGTATTGTAAATGTTTTCGTTTTGTCATTTTTAAATTGAAGAAATAGGAACTTCTTTAGAAATAAAATAAATGTGCCTGTGGGCGTGGTAGCGCGTTGAATTTTACCATTTTCCACATTTCTTTATTCCTAAGTGCCCAGTAGCGCATATACGAAATTTCAGCGAATTTCTATTACGGTTATCTACTACTTTTAGAGCGCGGTTACCCACGAACATGTACGCAGCGTAGCGTAGAAGTACGTAGAAACATATCAAGTTTGCTGTTGATAGAAAGAGAGAGATGCAACGTCTATCTCACGGGCATGCGGTGGTGAGTTTTTGTTAACACGCAGATGCCATAAGATAGATCGTGTCAGCTGACACGTTCTACGTTTTTACGTCCGTGGGTAACTGCGGTTTTAGCTGTAGCTTATATTGGGACGTCCCACTGTGCGCCGCCGGTTAGAAAAAGAAGATGGTTGAGGTTGCTTTTTTTTTTTCTTTTTTTCTAGAACAAGAAGTTTTAATGTTAATGGAAAAAAATTTCCGAGTAAAATCTGGTAAAGTGTCAAACCATCAGCTGTTCAAACGATTTGAAAGTTTAATAAGCAAAAACAAAAGAACATCTGCATTTACCACCTTATTAAATATATCCTGGCGAAGTAATATCAAGTTTTGTAAGTATTTTTGTTAATTTGAAAACTAAAAATGGCGCCCACGGTGTATTTAACAGTTTTACCACTTTTTACCCGAAAAGCATTCCCGTACTTTTTGGTTTTTCTCTCTTTCTCTGAGAGCAATTTTTGCTTTTGATAGTTTTACAGGTTTTATCCACGATGTAGAGAACAAAAGTGGCGCCCATCTCGGTACCGCTATTCCGCTCTCAATGAATTTGACAGAATCGTTGTTTGTATAACGTCCCACTTGTGCAGCTTGTTTATGTTTTCCTTGCAGCATTTTTTCTTCTTGCTCACGTTTTGGCATTTCTCTCTCGCAATTGCACCAGTGTGACGTCACACAAATGTTGTTCTGAAAATTCCTCTCTTATGGGCGCAATCTTGTATTCTATCATTCTTGGGTTTTATCCAGAAAAGTTGAGGAACGAAGCTACTGCTTTGTGTCCTTTGTACATTGGTGTGTATTTGAAATGTAACGACTTAAAATTCAACAAGAGTGAGCATCGCCAGAATAGTATTTGTTTTACATATTTATGCTTTACTTTTTCTCAATTCGTTATGGCTTTATTTTCGCCAACTTTGGCAACTATATATTTTTGCAAATTGGCGATAATTTGGCTTCAATGCTAATCCTCCGAATTGTCCTGAAAATGGAATAAGGGGTATTGCAAGATAAAACGAAATGATGTGCAGCGTCTAATGACAGAAGTTAATTTATAACTTCGAGCTTTCGCATATTTCACAACCATACAAAATAATATATTAACACTTCATCTCATAGTTATACTCTCATTGTTATTGGTCAACAAATATGAACTTTGTGCCAATTTTTTATCTACTGTCCAAAAATTGTACATTGCACTCATTGTTTCATCTTTTTTTGATATTTTCCTAAGCTAGTACAAGTTATACGGTACCTTAAAGCCCAGCTTAAGGGAAGACCCGAAATAGTTTTAAAATTATATCCTAGTTTATTTAATAAGGATGAAGGGATAACATGATCATATTTGATTCCATTAAAGCCCAGCTTAAGGGAAGACCCGAAATAGTTTTAAAATTATATCCTAGTTTATTTAATAAGGATGAAGGGATAACATGATCATATTTGATTCCATTAAATGAATGTTTGGCGCTATAACGTTTTCAACGTGTTTGGCCGAGCTTCTCCTCAAATTCGTGTTCTGCTTCTTGATGTTGTGAAACAAATGGACAGATCTAGGCTTTTACTCCGCCTCCGAAGAAGCTTTTTATAGCAGAAGTACACTCGAAGGTTCTCCATTTCCTGCCAAGAGGCGACCACTATTTGAAAAAAAAAACTTTATGCTACAGGGACCAGAAATTGAATCATGGACCTCCCGAGTGGCAGTACTCGGTATACGATAAGTACTCGGCTACGCTGGCAAGAGCTCTACTATAAACCGAAAAAAGTCCGAAAAAGTGCAATAAATTATTTGAAACAAGTTAAAGTAAGGCCAAACATAAATTTTTCACTGAATTTTATTTGTTTTACTTTTGATCTAAAAAAGACTTTGTACTCATTTGACCTTTCTCTTTTCTAAATAAAAGCTATATTTTCTGTAAACAGTTTTATTGTAATTTTTGGTCATGACCTCACACCAGCATAAGTATTTTTACTATATAAAAACTATGTAAAACAAAACCAGTTTATCCGGTTTTTTTCTTTATTTTCAAATCGGAAACTGTTTTATTTTCAAATCGCAATTTTTCGAATAACTCGAAACCCGGTTATGGAAAAAGGCGAATAATGGAACACCCTAGTATGTACAATAGGGTGGTCCTGAAAATGCATGTGAAAAAGTAAAGTGGGAATTTTTATGCCACTAGGATTGTTCTATACCGAAAAATTATACCCCTTCTTTATTTTGAAATCAAAATATATTTAGAGGACTTTACTTGTTTTGGACCACCCTAATGTACATACATAAGTATGTATGAGCCGTTTATTTTGAAAGTGGTATAAGTCATTTGATATTGTTTGACTTCGTCTGTTATTCGTTCAACGGTCAACGGCCAAAAGTAAAAACTTTTTTCATTAATTTATGACCGTAAAACCATTGACAGCTGTATTTAATTAAAAGTAACCATGCATTTAAGAGGTGGCCAATGGCTTATGCTGCTTTTAAAATAAACGGATATATGTATAGTAAATCATTAAGATCGTATTGCACTTTTGTTTTGTCATATTTCTGTAATTTTCAGTTATTGCAATCAATGCATCATCAGCAAATAACTTAAAAATTTTAGTATGCATAAGTTCTTATGTTTTTCATATAGCAATATGTTTCTTTTATCTTCTGTAGGCTTGGCCCGTGTGACCTACCAGATCCTTGGGCATCAAACACCTCCAACAACAACAATAATAACAGTATCAGCGTTATTACCAACAACACAGGAACCTTATCCTTGTTATCAACATTGTCAACAAGTACAACAACTTCCTCAAATACGGCTGCCCCTGTCAATATCGACAGCAACATTAACAAAACTTGTGTATTTTTCAAGAACAAGAATAATAGTACTGCAACCACTGCCAACAAATCGGCGATCGCTGACGGCAAGTCAACAACAACCTCTAGTAGCCTCATCTACAAGCTGCCTTCATTATCGCCAGCCGCTGCAACAGCTGCAGTTTCTGTTTCGAAAGCGGACAGCGGCAGCGTGGTAACGGCATCATTGGAGGGCCTAGCACCCTCGATACCGAGTGGTGCTATCCTCAGTGCTACCGGTACTGGTAGAGTAGAGGGCATTCCTGCTTTACTGTCAGCGGTGACATCCTCGTCTGTTTCCGGTAGCATCGGTGTTGTACAAACTACAGCTGCACCACTTCAGGCCAACAACAACACCCCTGACAGTAGAAACCAACTGTTATCGTTGCAGCAACAACTACAATTACGGGCGCAGAACCAATTACTACAGCAAAGCGAAAACAAGCTCAATATTAACCCAAACAACAACAATACGTTATTGACTCACCACAGAAATAGCAGTAATTATAATACAAATTTGCGACAAAAAACTGCCCCAACTGCAAGTTTAGCCACCGTGTTGCAAAACTCCATCAATATGAATGCTGTAGCATCGCCGATCTCAAATAATTCAACTACGCCGACTCGAAAAGTTAGACGGAAAACTGATCCGAAAGCCAATTTGGTGAGTTATCATGCTTATATGTATGTATTAGAGGGCTGCATGAATGCATTCAAAGCGGCTTATGAATTATTCATATTAGAGCTGTGCGATTAATTGATTACTCAAAATTTTAATTAATCATAAAGTAAATAACTCTATTGTTCGATTAATTGGAAGTTATGATTACTCAAAAGTTCAGTTACTCGGGTAATCAAGATGTTTGATTAACCAAAAACAAAAATATTTGAGTAATTTGCTTTATGATTAATCAACATTTCGAGTAAAATGAGTAATCAACATTTCAACTCTTTACATATAAAGTAGTTGAAGTTCCTTGATACTCTGAAAACATCGTTTCTGTTTTCAAAAATTGAAACGAAAAATGTTTTTCATATACAGAATGTAAAAAAGAAAATAAACATTTTCCAAAGCAAACTCTTTTAACGAGCAAACTCTTTGCTCGAGTAATCGAATAATCGCACAGCCCTAATTCATATACAAAACGAATGAATGATTTTGGCTTAAAATTTTTTTGAATTTGAGTGAATAGCTGTTCTGATATTTGTGTCTACATTGCAACTCAAAATCACACACACATTCCCATTTTTAATCTCAAGCAACAACAATTGCGAACAATTTCATTTTTTTATTCTCAATTTTTTATGATTTTAAAATGCTGGCAAATGCCAGAACAAAATCATGGCCGACGAATTGAGAGAATGAATTTACCTTGTAATGTTTTTATCATGATTTGAATGTTTTCCATTCGTTCATTCGCATTCTTCCATTTGAAAGTAGAAAATTTAAAACAAAATGTATATTCATAACTTACAAAATTCCAAACGCTGAGTGTTTTGTATGCACCATGATAAAAACATAACAAGGTAAAACCATTGAGAGGCCGTCTAACGTTTGCCAACAATATAATTGTATAGTTTACAGTTACAGTTTTTGGATATACACAATTACCAAATCATTTGTTGAGAGAAATATGTTTAGTTGACTTTTCTGGAAGTAAAAATTTGTTAGCGCCAAGGCATATTAAACTGGTAGTAGCATTACAACAAAAACATCATTTACGCGTATTTTGGTGTTGCTTCTTGTCTCCAAAAATATCAAAAAAGTATTCTGTTTTTTTTTTAATTATGTTGCGCCATGTTAAATAAAAAAATCAAATAGAAAACATAAACATTTTTGAAACTTTCTTTCTCGGTAATATTTTATGCTTTCAGGAGCATCGATCCATCGTTTTCAAGGCCCATAAATCAGCGATTGTCCCCTAAGTTAAGTAGGGATGAAACGCTACGAGTAAATTCAAATATATACTCAATACTTTTCGATCGATAGCAAGTAATATGAATATGAAGGAAAAAATACACGCTCCAATTGCTCCACCAAAGCAGATTGAATTCTAACTCTCTTATTGCAGAAAATAAGCATACAAAAGAGTAAAATACAAAGAGCTGATTAAAAAAATTCTTAGAAAAAAACTGAAATATGCCTGCAAATTTAAACGACATCTTTGCATCTAATCTGGAGAAAAGAAGATGTCAAAAGAAAAATTATTCTAGTTGGCGGTGTCTAGATACTAGAAAATCTTTCATATTTTAAATGCGTTTTTAGTAAAATTTCATCCATATCATTTTGTAGTAAGGAGACATTTTTGAAACTATCGTATTTAAATCTTTAGCTCATAATATTAGTACATTTCCACCCCCCTGAAATCTTTGGAAAAGGCATACAAACTTTCTATCAGAAATATTGTAGTTATAAGCAAATTTTTTTCTTAAACGATATTAACTTTCCTATAATCTTTTCCAACAAATTTTCTGTGCTAAATACCATTCATTATTAAACATATAGTTTAGAGTTTAGGATTCCCAGATAATAGTTAACTTATGACATAAAAAACAAAATTAACCTATTTATTTCATAATCATAACCAAAAGTATCGATATGAGTAGGTATCGATACTTTAGATCCGATATTTTTCAGGTATCGGTATTTTTTTTCGATCCTACTTCTAGGTAGAAGTATCGCTACCTGCATGGTATCATTATTCATCTCTAGAGTTAAGCGAACGTTACAAAAGATGGTTTGCAATCGCTTCTTTTTTATGAAAAAAGCTTTCGCACGAAAATACATTTTAGGAACTTAGAATTTTTGTGAAAAAATAATAAACAATATTTGGCACGTTTAAATCAGCTGATCTAATGATACTACCTGTTCAATATGCCTTGGTTAGCGCTATCGTAAAGTCACATAGTAGGCAGTCAGAAAGCATATCGCTAGCTTATAGTGAAAAGTTGATAGCTCCTCTTTTTATGAAAACTCATATTTTGATACAGGAGGCTAGATAAATTAACAAGTAATTTTTAGCAAAAAAAAACCGACTTAAAAAAAATATATCTATATCTATATATTTCATGATCCAATGATCGGATCTAAACCAAATTAATATGGGACCACCTCTGAGACACTACCTTTCCGTTGCAAAAAGAATTATTCAAATCGGTTGACGTGGTGCAAAGTTATGCGGTAACATACATAAAAAAAATAAATAAATAAAATAAAATATTCCGACGAACTGATAACCTCCTCCTTTTTTGGAAGTCGGTTAAAAATGCATCGTTTCGAAAAGGGTAAAAGTCCTTGTTTTATATTTTCTCGTTTATATTTAATGAAAAGAACATTTGCTAAGTCCAAAAAAACTCCGAAAATTCGATAAGGCCAAAATATTTCGAAATCTTTTAATAGAGATGAATCCCTCTGATTGTTATGAAGTTTTGTTTGCTTTAAACAGGCAGAATATTGTATTCAAAGTTTTGCGAAATACTCCTCTCTCTCTGTACTCTCCTGTACAATTTTTAAATAGGGACTTAGCCACTTTGCACTCTAAGCTAGCGATATAAAACATCAAAATTCGAAAAAGTCAAATATCTACGTTTACAAAAATTGCAGTTATATCCTTCAGATTATCACCCTATGCTGTAATTCGTCGTACGTTCGATTTTGCTACCATTCATCGGCACGGGTAGCTCAACACCTTGGATTAAACCATTACACAAGTAGAAGGCACCAAAGGGTGACCCTGTTATACTTGCTTTATTTCTTCGATAGAGATTTGCAGTTGTGCATACGCCTAGAAGTACATAGTTTCAAAACAGTCCAAGGCTTTTAATGGTGTATGAATCGTTGCGATTTACTCTCTGCAAGTGTTTGTTGAGGCTCGTTTAAGGATAATTTCGGTAGCGTTTTGTCTGAGCTTTATGATAGAATTATCATAGAATGGTTTTAAAACCATCAAGTCCTTGAAGGTATCCGCTACTTATGCCCATTAAGCTGCTGAGATGCAAATTGCTCCAGCAAGCCTCATTGTCAATTAGTATGGGCTAGAGGTGGTATACCTGTGATGATTCTGAGCACTTTTGTTGGGCAGGTGCGCCTCGCTCCTGAAAAGGCTGCACAGACCAATCGGTGCTTGACTTTTGGCCTCCACGACAGTTTTGAATACATAATATTTATTTAATCGGTGTCATCACTGTATCTCTGATAGCTTTATTAGTAGCAGCTATGGATGTGACTTCCAGTTAAGAATTTTTTTGAGCGTCTCCCCTAGTGATGGCGGACTTTAGTGGCTGTAGTAATCATCCTTTTCAGAGCACTATTTCTCAGCCAGTTTTAAGGCTGCCTTCAATGTAAAGACGAAGATGAGTAGCTTATCTGCTTAGCCAAAGCTTAAAACTGTTGCCTTCTAGTTCCGCTTTTATATTTCTGGATTCAGCATGCTTATGATGCATGCAATTAATATATTAGGAATATTTTCTTATCATGACCTGGAATTTAGCTTCGTATGATGTAGTACCAAACGCAGCTAAAATGTCAAGGAACTCGCAAAGGGCTATCTGTTTATATTACAATGCGTTTTGCAGTAATATTTAGTAGATTTCCCTGGTTGATGTTGGCCATCTTACAAAGGTTTGACCTTTAAGTACATACATACATATGATGTAAGAAATAATTATCTTATTATACCCAATTTAAAAAATGTACCAAATCTGCAACTTAGTACCAGTGTACCAAAATGCGTTTACGCGTTTAGATGAATTGCCCTATTAAATTAGGCTTGTTCGATGAGTGCACTCAAAGTGTGGAACAGTGCAGTGCATAACAATGTTTGACATTTGTCAGAGCAGACAAGTCAAAGGTCTCGGAAAACGAAAGCAGTATTACTTACTGCCGGTTACATCAGTCAGTATTCATATTAAATTCCAATTGAAAAAATGTTTTGCTCAAATGCAGTTTTGCAAGTAAAGTTACCGCCAATCAAAAAAAATGTTTTCATCTGATTTATTTTAGTTTGGAAAGTTTTTATTTCTCACGGATGTAGAAATTTTACTAATCGTTTACGTTTTTAAAATCTCTCTAGCCACAATCGCAGATTAATAAATGCAACAATGAGAAGCGGCGCCGTGAACTGGAAAATAATTATATTGAGCAATTGTCCGAGTTTCTGCAACTCAATAAACGTGGTGACATGGCCTCAACGAAACCGGACAAAGCAGCTATATTGAATCAAGTGGTCAAAACGGTAAGTCGAATAAGATATATTAATTTTGGAAAAATTAATATAATTTATGCCGAATTTCCACTAGGCATTGAAATGAACAAAAAATGTATGCCATTTAACAAAGTTACATCTGGAAATGAACTTAATGCCTATTTTTTAACATAATGACACGATTATTTTTTAGTGCCCGACTTTGTCATTTTGCCTAGTGGAAATGCAGCTTTAGGAAAAATTTAGTTTCCACACCTATTATTAATTAAGTTGTATAATTTTCGAAATACTGTGTATGAGAGAGATAGTTGATAGTAAAATTTGAATCTATGGAAACAGTGATTAACCACTGTAGTTGCGAAGATAACGTGTTTGAAGACAAACTATGTATGTAGGTAATCCCTAAAGCGTTAGGTGGAATTTGAGGTCTCCTAGTTGTCCGGCTGAGGACATAACGTATTAGTCTGTGTGTCCACCGCGCTTAGATGAGGTTTCCCAACGCTGCTGCCACATTGAGATGCTCTTATTCTTTTCTTCCGTCATTCGTCAGCGGATTTTTTGTAAAATTTTATTACGTTACGCAATTAAAAGTTTAATTGCAATTACTGTTTTTATCAATTAACAAGATCATTAAAAAATTAATTGATTAACGCCCAACATTGCCCCCACCTTAACCTTAATACTTCCTCTAACTTTTCTTGTACTTATGAGCAAAACTTCTGTTTGTGCTCAGCAAATTTAAGACACTTCGCACAGTGTAGCATTTTTCTAGTCTAGAGGAACTTTATTCAAAAAACTATATAGTGGGTACTAATGGACGGGGTTTACTTACACCTGTGTGGAGTTAAGTTATGATACCCATTTTGTAATAATTGGTTAACTTTTTAAATACTTTGAACTTAATTTCGGAAAAGTTAAGCCTTATTGTACATTTACAATTTGACACCTCACTTTCGATAATCGAACGAAAGGTACGGATCTGAGGGTATTAATTATTAGATAATTTTAACTTAATTGTTCAACTTTCTTTTCGAAAAAATAAAACCAGTTTGCACATCTACAGGCCAAGCGCTTTCATTTGACACCGCATTTTTGAAAATCGAGCGAACGGTGCAGATCTTTTATCCTGGACAAAAAATCTTCGCGTATTATATACAGTGACTCAAATAAATGACCACGTGCTGTTTTTTTTAATATTCGTAATATTTTTCCAGCTAATTTTTTTTTTGTTATTTTTATATATAAAAATATCGTCTAAGCTTTAACCTTCTTCTTCTTATTTGGCGCTGTAACCACCTAAGCGATTTTGGCCGAGTTCAACAAAGCACGCCAGTCGTTTCTTTCTGTGCCAACTGGCGCCAATTGGAAATGCCAAGTGTAGCCAAGTCCTTCTCCATCTGGTCTTTCCATCTCAGTGGGGGCCTCCCTCTTCCTCTGCTACAACCAGCTAGTTCCGAGTTGAATACTTTCAGAGCAGGAGCGTCGGCGTCCATTCGAACGGCATGACCAAGCCGGCGGAGCCTCTGTATTTTAATTCGCTGCACTATGTCCATGTCGTTGTAAAGCTCATTCAGCTCATCGTTCCATCGTCTGCGGTACTCACCGTCGCCAACGCGTAATTGCCCGTAAATCTTCCGCAAAATCCTTCTCTCGAACACTCCAAGAGCCGCCTCATCGGATGTTGTCATTGTCCATGCTTCTGCGCCATATACCAGCACGGGCATGATGAGTGACTTATAGAGTGTGGTTTTCGTGCGTCGAGAGAGGACTTTAGTCCTGAATTGCCTACTCAGTCCAAAGCAGCACTTGTTGGCAAGAGTGATTCTGCGTTGGATTTCCATGCTGACATTATTATCGGTGTTAATGCTGGTTCCCAAGTAAACGAAATTCTCTACTTTATCGAAATTACAACTGTATAAAATGTTTAAAACTGTAATGTGAACTGTGTGAAATGTTTAAACGCTTATATTTTATCACCTACTTCACCGATTTGAAACCTGATAATTTTTGGATAATCTATGGAGCTTGCACTTTAATTTGATATAAAACTCAATTCTGTGGCTACTCCAGATCGCCCTAACTAAGTCGTATGACTGAGCAATTATATATAGATGCAGAGTTAAGTCTCGTAAAAAAAACTTTCAAACTTGATTTCCCAAAATTTTCATCTTAACACATTCATGTTTCTGGCACGCGGGGGACGATATGTACTTGCCGATTTGTTTTACAAAAATTATTTAAAAACCAGACGTCTCGGTTGCTCAGAAAACTGGTTAATCGTTTCTGCAATTATTATACATTGATTCTCTAAAACAAATTTTCAATAAGAAATTATACTGACAATTTATTAAAACTAGTAGTAAGCCCCGAAATGTGGGTGAATGCAGTAAAGAAATACTTACTTATATTAAAAATTTAGATTTAAGTATATAATAAAACGTGATACTCATGAATATACTTCAGTATTTAGCTCAAGATTTTCATTTTAAAAATCACATCAAAAAATGTGTAAAGCTTTGAGGTTTGCCGTCATTTAGGGTCACTTATAATGGTCAGTGAGACCCTGGGTGTTTAAAAAAGAATGTGATCTCAGAAATTTTTATTTTTTTCTTTCGTGAAATATATTTCAAAACTATGAATAATACGTAATACCTTTTCCGAATCTCAATTCCACGGAAAATTGTTTAATGTTTTTCAATAGACTATATTGCTCACTATCGACTTTTCTTCCACGTTTTAAATTTGTGACAAACACGGTCAACTGCAACTGCAGCTTGCACTTTAATTTGATATATAGCTCAATCTGTGGCTGCTACAGATCGCTTCAACTAAGCCGTATGGCTGAGCAATTATATCGCACATTTAATAATACTAGTGTTCGCCCAGCGGTTGAAATTCAACCGATAAAATTAAGGATAGTTTATGTAAGTTGAATGAGCTAAAATAACATTAGTTGGAATGGGTTAAGTGGAGGGGAGTTTAGCTTAGTACTTGGCA